GGGTTTAGGGTTTAGGGTTAATTCTCATGCCCTTAACCCCGGTCTGCTTGGGTTGGTGTTTGTGTAGGGTTTAGGGATTAGGGTAATCATTATTACCGATTTTGCCTAGAAACCTTTGCCTCTCGACCTTTACGAGTCAACCAAACAAAACTTGGCATTGACTGTAGCTCACACTGGCTCATAGTACCCGGGCTCCATATGGCCTAACCCTTCGGGTTCAATGGCAAAAAGTTGATACTCGCGTTTAAGATAGTACTTACGAAGCTAATATTCGGGAGAGTATATGATAAATACGTACTTGGATCCTTGGACATCCTCGGCCTAGAAGGCCCGGGTTCCAGGGTCATGGAAGGCAGGAGAGAAACTGAGTTGGACAGGCCTTGTCCACATTGCTGTTCTTCTGCGCGATCTGCGCCTCCTTTGTGAGCCCCGGGGTGATGCCTGAAGATGCGAACATTTTTTAAGGTAGATGAAGAACGGTAAATAAATAACTAAATATATGTATGAATTAAACAAGTAAATAACTAAGTCTGAACATGAATACAAGTATAACTATTGGTATCAAAACAGGCGAAAAGTAAATACACAAAAGAACAAACAGCAACAATAATATTCAACTTATACATGTGTATGCATATATATATATATACACATATTTATTACTCTATATATATACATATCACAGAGTCTTCATACAGGTGTGCAGATACATATGTCTGTAGATGTGTATGTGTATATAGATATGCCCATCAAGTACGTGGGAAAACCTCTGGTGCCAAAGCATATAGTAGAAGCCCAAAAGTTGGAAACCCAATAGCCTCAATCCTTAAGAGTAACGTATAAGGAATCCCAGCACTATCTGTCCTTAATCCGGTTTCCAGCTTTTTGGGGTTTACCATAATCCAAACAACGAACTGAAAGGCTGAAACCACAAACACCCAGAGGCCAAAGACGAGGGGTTGAGGGTTTAGGGATGAGGCCCCTATATCATACCTTTTCCGGATCTGGACTCTTGAGGAGAGAGAGTGGTGCCAAAGTCCACAGCACCCAAGCATTGCAGTAGGAGCAGTTTCGGGTTTAGGGTTTCGGTTCACCACCGTGACGACAACCAACAACAGAAGAGGCCATAAACACCATATATATATATATATATGTATTTATTTATTTATTTATTTATGTATATATATTTCTTTATTTATTTATTATTATCATTATTATCAGTGTATATGTATGTGTATATATATATATATATATTTCTTTATATAGTTATTTATTAATTAATTTATTTATTTATTGATTTATTTCTTGGTTGATTATATTGCTGTAAAGAGACGCCTCACCAAGCTCTGATATCATTCTTGGGAAGCCCTGTAAAGGCCCTGCTATCAAAATCCTATAAAGCCGCACAGCCGGAAGATGGGCAAAGAGCCGACAAAAGCCGCAGCATCGGCGTCGCTCGCAGAGGTGCTGGCCTCGAAAATGCTCGAAATGGTACTACGCAAGACTTCAGGGTCTGGGATTCAGGGTGTATTTGGGTAGTTCTCTAAAGTAGGGTCCCTTTTTAGGTCCCCAATGTAGTACGGCATCCTTATAGAAAGGACCCTAGAAGGGGACCCTAATTTAGAGAACTACCCATTTAGGGTCCGGGATGTAAGGATATCGAGCTCTAGGGGGTTTAACGAGTGAGGCTTTAGAATTCAAGAGCTTTTTGAGCTCAGAGCTTCTGCGTTTACGGTTGTGTATGTATAGGTTCTCGAAGTGTTGGGGGTCTTTGTGTTGTGTGTTTGCACTGGCCATGGGGTAGAGCTTTGGTAGTTTACGACATAGTACGAGACAGGGTTTGTTGCTTGTTTTCGTTTGCTCGGCAAGCAGAGCTTTCGGGTGTAGGGTTTAGGGGCTTACCTTAACCCCAAAGAAACCACTTTTTTTTGAGGAAATCTATCAAGAAATCACAACAAGGAGCCCTAAAAAGGTAGGTTCTTTAGGGTCCAGGTAGGGTTTAGGATTTAGGGCTAGGGGACGCTCAAGACACCACTGCAGCCGACTCGGAGAGTCCGATGACCTTTTATGCACGCTGGTTTAGGGTTTAGGGTTTAGTGGCTTAGGGGTTTAGGGTTTAGGGGTTTAGGGGTTTAGGGTTTAGGGGTTTAGGGTTTAGGGTTTAGGGTTGAAGTGCAGAAACCCTAGCAAACCAACTCTAAACCGAATGGAACCCCTTCTCAAAGCCCTATCTTATCCTTCTAAAAATAAAGCCCTAAACCCTAAGCCCGAAAACCTGAACCCTAGACCCGAAAACAACCCTTAAACCTGAACCCTTAACCCTAAAACCTGAACCCTCAACCCTAACACCTGAACCCTCAACCCTCCACCCTGAACCGAAAGACCTTCTGAGAACAAAATCCCACTGAAGAACCTTCGAGTCCTTGAGAGGTTTTAAGGGTTGGGATGTAGGGTTTAGGGGTTTGGGGTTGGGGTTTAGGGTTTAGGATTTAGGGTTTAGGATTTAGGGTTTAGGGTTTAGGGTTTAGGGTTTAGGATTTAGGGCTTAGTGTTTTTGATTTAGGATTCAGGATTTAGGATTCAGGGTTTAGGGCTTAATCTTGAGACCCCGCTCCCCTCGGGCCACGGCCGCGCGAGAGAATCTGATCCGACGGTCCTAGTCAGAGCTTAGGGCACTATGGTGCTATGAGGGTTATAGGGTTAAGGGCTGGGGATTAAGGTTTAGGATTTAGGGATAAGGGTTTAGGGTTTTGGGATTCAAGGGATTAAGGATTAGGGTTTACGGCTTGGGGTTTAGGCTAGGGCTTCTAATTGGCGGGGGTGTTAGGGAGTAGGGTTTGTTGGGAGGGACAGGGGCAGGCATGATACATGATACATGGGCCGTAATAGCTAGGATAGGGTTTAGTATGTAACAAGGAACGCTGAGGAACAATTTTGGCAATATAATCAACAATGCCATAATGGGTATTATAAGGGTTTCATCCGGCTTGAAATAGGGCTTAGGATTTAGGATTTGTGGGATTGCGGTGTCATGCGGATTGCATTATATCCGAGGCCTGGGGCTTAGAGTTTAGGCTTCAGGGTTTAGGATTTAGGGCTTCGTAGATCACAGGTAGCACAACGACACTTTGTTATGCAAGCTTCATTACATCCTGGCAGGAGCCTGGGTACAACTCAAGGTATGTTCCTATGAGCCTATGCTTGGAATTCTAGAAAATCATATTGGTAATCATTCTGGCCCCTACCATACTCTTCGGGGTTGAGGGTTGCGTCTACCGGTGTACATGTAAGTTTCCCACAGCAATGCAGCAGGGTTTAGGGTTTAGGGTTTAGGGTTTAGGGTTTAGGGCACGAAAGCCAACAGATAACACGAAAGGGAGCAGCAGTACTCTCTCAGATCGAAGCGAGGCCGGGCTGCCCAGAACTTTAGAACGTCAGACGCCACGTGGGAAGCGCCGAAGAGCATTGACAACTTTCCCAAAGGGTCCAAAGTACCTATATAGTAGAATGTAGGGTTTCTACATTAGGAATTGTTAGTAGGATTTGGGAAAGTATCCCCCATAACAGTATCTAGGACCCTTTGGGTTTTGTCGTTTGCTGACTTTGTTGGTTTATGGTTCCTGACCATTGAAGAGATCATCAGTTTTGTCCGGTACATAGGTTCGGGTAAACCCTACGTCCCTTAACTCTCAGCCCACCTAGCATTGCTTCTCGAAGCCCCAAGCCCTCAACCCTACGCCCCTAAACCAAACCGTGCAGGGAACTTCCTGTGAACCCTGCAATAACCTGCCAGATCTGAACATGAATAGTGCAAGCCTTTCCTAAAAGGGCTCTAAGCTCATAAGGACTACCTTAACCCCCAATAACCTACCTTTTTAAGGACTTATATAAAGAAATCATAATAAGGAACCCTGAAAAGGAAGGTTCTTCAGGCTCCAGGTATTGTCACGACACCCTGCACCAAGCAGACGGGGCTCCCAGCCGGGAGCAACTCTATCCCAAAAGCTGCAATGAACTCTTGAAACTCTTACCCGAACCCGACCCTAATCCCTAAATCTTAAACCCTAAACCCTAAACCTTAAACCCTAAACCCTATAAACCCTAAACCTCAAATCCTAAAATTCAAGTGCCAAGCCCGGAACCTCTCCTGACACAAACTCCAACCCTAAAAACCGGTGAACCGGTGCAGCCTCTAGCTGTGCAGCATGGCCCCCTGTCCTCAACGTGGGTTTAAGAGTCAATTAGGGTTCAGGGTTTAGTTTAGGGTTTAGGGTGTAGGGTTTAGGGTTTAGGGTTTAGGGTTTAGGAGTAGGGAGTTACTAAGTTAGGGTTTCAGGGTTTAGGATAGAGGGCTTTCCGGGTTGAGAGTTTGGGGAATTAGCTGGGTCAGGTGTGTACCCTGAGGGTGCGTGCTTGTGTCTTTCATGGGAGGTCCTCATTTTGACAAGCCCAAGATTTAAGTGTTCATATGATCTTCGGTCTCCTACTTTCTGAAACGTCCCTCTATCCATAGGCCGCATAGTACTTCCTTTTGGGGATTACCTAGTAGAATCCTAATTGTAAGCAACAAAAAGGAACTACCATGGGGCCTATGGGTAGCTACAACCTTGAATCCTTGAATGATCTGTCTTGTGCAGCTTGTTGGTCAAATGGAGAGCACAGGGTCTAGTGTTTGGATTGGTCCATTAACCCTATCCCCTAAACCCGAAACCCTAAATCCTAAACCCTAAAGGACTACAAGGGGATCTGAGTGACTGCTGTGTTCTTATTCCAGGAGCCAGCAGGCTACCATGGCGATTTGGCACGATGATTCGGGTTTAGGGTTGAGGGCTAAGGGCTTCAGGCTAGGGCAGGCATTTGGGTGTGATAACATAGGACTCCCAATAGCTTTAGGTTTGAGGAGCACGAAACTGCTGAGCCCAAAGTTTCATTATCATCGAAACTCAGTGATGATCACAGCAAACCGCGACAAATTGGAAACCGGATCAAGGACAATTAGTGCTGGGATTCCCTAAACAGTACTCTTAAGGATTGAAGCTATTGGGTTTCCAACTTTTTGGCCTTCTACTGTACTGTCTCCGTTTGGGTTGTGAAGCCACACGACACGTCTTCTTCCGTGCCTGCTGGGCCAGGCGAATGGCTGCAGAACCTGGCAACACAGACCAATCCAGTAGCACGTGTCTTAGGCCCAAACCAGCTACAAGCTATGTTGTATTATACTATGCTATACTATAGAATCTAATCTTGGGTTGTCTTCATATTGTATTGCTTCGGACACTACGCTAAATTACACTATGTGATCTTGTTTATACTATGCTGTATACCCTAAACCCTAAACCCTAAACCCTAAACCCTAAACCCTAAACCCTAAACCCTAAACTGCATACAAATTAACTTGCAGCTGAAGATCCCCAGAGCGCCTAAACCGCTCTTGGTTGACGAGTCTTTTTGCACCACAAGTCATTCTTCATCCGAGTCCCCGAAGAGTCCAAGTACCTAAACATCATACATTCCCCGAAATCACGACCCACATTGCCCTAAACCCTACACCCAAGTACCACAAACAAACTGGATTCTTGACCTACATTGCCCCAAACCCTGAACCCTAAACCTTAAACCCCAAACCCTAAACCCTAAACCCTAAACCCTAAGATTATTGGGATTCTTGGGTCCGTTGGATCTTCAGGGTTCAAGGTGTACTCCTTTTTCCGAGCTTCCTCGAAGCAAAGTCGCTGACTCAGAGCCCTCTAAAGCGCAAACCTTAAGGAGCTCAAGGTACCCTACTATTTGCTCATGATAACTAGTAGCACTATCAGGAAGCTATTATTTCATATGATTCCTAGCAGTATTCTTATTTTCGTTCTTAACTTCGCACTGTAAAACTTTGGGATTGTGATACTAAGAGCCCGACCTAGGGTTAGGCTTTGCAATCGTCAACCCAGCCTCAACGCGAGATTCGTTAGTCCGGAATCTGCCTTCGTCCCCGTCACCCAGAAACCCTGAAGCCTCAACGGCAAAGGAGGTTGATATTATGATACAGCAGATTCGGCTTCTAAAGGAAACTCGTACGGTTCGATTTCTGAAAAGGAGCTCTTGCCGCCTGCAGCGCCCGGACCCGTCGCAGCATGATGGCCGCCATTGGGATCTCTGTACCGAGCCCTTGAAATCTATAGGGGTCTATTAGTAAGGAGCCGTAACTTGTTAGTAAGCTACCATTTAAATGATTGTGCTTGATTTCAGGCTTTTCAGGCTGGATGACCGACTTGTCGGGGTCTGCACGGTTTGTTACTGCGCTAGAAATCGAGGCCCTGTACTTTGGAGGCTTGTAGCAGACACTTGAGAGCTTCATCACGGTCGGCTTAAGCTTTTGAGGTTTATTTAGAAGAATTATGGCTAAATTCAAGAGTTGGGAAGCTTTTTTGAATAATTCTAGCAAAAATGTTGGGAGGTTTGCTACTGCTTCGTGTGCAAAAGCTGCAGGGGCACAGCATGCTGCGGAAACCCTAAACTCTCCGACCCTCTCCAGCCCAAAGCTCTTGCATCGGGCTCCGCCGCTCTCAGTGGCCCGTACCCTAAACCCTGACAGCCTAATTCAGCGCTGAGCCCTAGAATAAGCCCTAAACCATGAACCCCAGTAGCCTAAGCCCTAAGCCCTAAACCCTAAACTTGAAACCTGATGGAAGAACCGGCTCAGGGTTTAAGGTTGAAGGGTTTAGGGCTTTGGGGAGAACGCACGTCAACTGAAACCCCCCAAAGCGGGCAGGCCAAAGCCCCTAAAACCCCACAGCCAGTACAAGCTGAGTAAACTACTTCTGGTACAACTGAACACTTTCGGACGGACAGCATTAACGGCTTCAGGTTTAAGGCTGGAGGGGCTTGCGGAAGAGCGTGATTCAGACGATTTGTAACCACATTAGGTGATAAAAGGGTGGTAAAAGTCTCTCATGTGAGAGCGAGCGAGAGCGAGCGAGCGAGAGAGAGAGAGAGAAGAGAAAGAGAGAAGAGAGTGAGAGAGAGAGAGAGAGCAGAGGTCTGCACACACTGCAACTATTCGTGGAAGAGTGCTTGGGGTTACTGTCCCGGGACTTTTTTTGCAAACTTGATGTCGGGAGCTTCTTGGTATTCAGGGCTTGGGTTTTAAGCTTTAGGGAATAGTAGCAAAACAGTTTGAGAATCAGGGCACATCGAATGCCCAGTCCGTAAACCTTCAGCAACATTATTTTAAAGGAAACTACAGGTGGGGAGTTTAGGATAATGGACCTTCTATAAGGCTTCTGTAATGGTAACTACCCACCTGAAAACGTCCTGGATTATTCGTGCGTTTGACCACTATGTTGCCCTGAGGGTCCGAATGCTGGCAGTAAAGGCGCTCCTCCATGGTAGGGTTTAGGGTTTAGGGTTTAGGGTTTAGGGTTTAGGGTTTAGGGGTCACTTTCCAGGCAAGGTACTGGCCCCAAACCGTAAGCAAGCCCGATTATCTATCTATCTCCATCCTTCCATCCGTCCATGCACTTATTGATCCATCTACCCACCGAAAGTGGTTGCTTACTTGAAGTCCCGTGTTGGCCTTCCTAAATTCCCTAAAACCGCAAAAACCCCAAACCTTAAACTGTGCCCCAGCACAGCATCAGGAGGCCCAATTACCATACTATGGGTTTGGGCTCGTGGTTTAGTTTTCATGCCGATTTGTTTTTTTCCGGCTAGGCCTTGTTTCATACAGAGCATACACTAAGGGACAATAGGAGGGACCTCTAGAAGGGACCCCTAATCCTAATACCTTACAAAACCCATATTCCCCTTATATAGTCTCATAAAGCCATAATATGTAACCCCAAGGGTCCCTTTCAGGGTCCCTCCGGTAGTCCGTTGAATACAACCATTGAAGCTTCAACCTGAGGTTCAACAGTTCCTACCTTAGACCCCCTTGACCCGCAACCTGAAATGCAGCCCACAAACCCTGGTCTTTGGTTTAGGGTTTAGGGT